AGTACTTCTCGCATATTATTCTCAAATTTTTGGGCCATTTTCTCAGTCTTCGTGGTGGATTTTTCTAGGCCAGCCATTTTCTCTTCTACATCTGAGATTCTATTTTCTGAATGATCTAGTCTGCTTTTAATACTTTCAAGGGAGAGTTTTACTTCTTGTATTATAGACTTCATCTCTAGCAGTTCCATTTGAATCTTTTGTAAAGTGTGTAATTCCTCTTTTAGATCTTGCAAGAATTTCCTCATTTCCTGGAACTCATCAACTTCGTTCTCCTTTCTCTTTAGCAGTCCATTATCTCTCTTCTCTTCCATCTCTGTTAGCTTTGACATTATGAATGCTCTAAATTCCTTATCAGACATTTCCATGATTTTCACCAAACTGCTTGTGGATGAAGAAGAGTTACTCTTTTCCCTTGGAGGAGAGGTATTCTCTCGTTTTCCCATATTTCTTGTGATCTGGCGGTGATTTCTTGTCATCTGATGGATGGTGTGTTTCTTTCAAATTCTTGAAGTTCAGCCTGAATGTTCAGGAGCAAGCAGACAGAGGTGATCTAGAATCTCTTTGCCATTCTGTTGTGATCGCTGGTGCAGCAGATTCAGTAGATATTGGGGAATATTTTAACCTGCTAGTTTGTTTGTTGGAGGTTGAATTATCAGTAGAAAATCTTCATTCCCTGAAAAATCTAGTTCACTGGAGCCATGTGGAATCTTCTTCTGAAGGCCTGGCTTCTTCTCTCTTATGACTGCTTTTGCCGTATCCCAAGATTATGGAAACGTGTGTATTCATTGTCATTGGTTTCCATGAATGTTTTTATTTCAGTCTTAATTTCTTTAGTAGTTGTGAAGTCATTCAGGAGTAGATTATTTAGTTTTCATATAGTTGTGTATTTTTGTGGATTCTTTCTAAAATTAATATAGAGCTTAATTCCATCATGGTTGGAGAAGATGCTGGATATAGTTACTATGCCTAAAGTCTTGTTTGTGCCCTATCACGTGGTCAAAAAAGTTCCATTTGGGGGTGAGTGGAACATATATTTTGTAGGTTTTGTGTGGAATGTTCTATAGATGTCTGTCAAGTCCATTTGATTTATGGTATCATTTAGATCCTCTATCTCTTTACTTATTTTTTGCCTAGATGATTGGTCCAATGGAGATTGCAGGGTGTTGAGATCCCCATTAGAGTGTTATAGTCTATTTCACCTTTTAGATCTTCTTACAGCTTTTGTCTTAAATCCTATTTTGTCTGAAATTAGTATGATGACTTCAGCTCTTTTTTGGTTTCTGTTTGCATGGAATACCTTTTCCCAGGCATTCACATTTAGTCTACATATGTCTATCCATGAGGAGCATTTCTTGTAAGCAATAGATAGATGGTTTCTTTTCTTTTCTTTTTTTTTTTTTAATGAATTCGATCAATTTGTGTCTTTTGGTTGGAGAATTTAATCCATTGTCATTCAATGTTATTATCAATATTTTAAGACTTGTTTCTATCATTTAGTTGGCCATTTTCTTGGTTGCTTTTTTGTTCTCTTATTTCTGTCTGTTTCTTTAGTTTTCCTGTTATAGCACTCCCTTCAGAATTTTTTGAGGAGCTGGTCTGGTGTTGGTAAATTCCTTCAGGTTTTGTCTATCTGAGAATGTTTTTAATTTTCTTTCCATTTGAAGGAGAATATTGCCAGGTATAGTAATCTTGGTTGAAATTGTTTGTCTCTTAACCCTTTGAATATATCTTCCCATTCTTTCCTTGCTTGCATTGTTTTCAGTGAGAGGTCTGAAGTTAGCCTTATGGGATAATCTTTATAAGTAACTTGGCATTTTTCTCTTGCCAATATTAATATCTTGTCTTTATCTGTGGTTTTGTCTAGTCTGGCTATGATGTGCTGTGGAGAGGATCTCTTTGGGTTGATTCTATTTTGGAAAAGTTGGAAAGTTTTCTTCTAGGATGTTGTGGAATAGATTATCAATATCCTTATTAGTTTCTTTGTCTCTGGGATGTCAGTTATTTGGATATTTGGGTGTTTAATGATAAAGAAATATTTATTTTATTTTATTTATTGATTCATTTATTTATTTTAATTTAACCAGAGAGAGAGAGAGGGAAAGTGAGAAAACAAGCCACCAGGTTCAGAACTCAAACAGTAGTCAGCCATGTGGGACTATCTGGCACCTTAACCACCATGCCACCTGCTGGGCCCTTGACTATGCTGTTTTAATTACCATAGCTTTGCAGTATGTTTTGAGGTTCGGAAGTGAGAGGCCTCCTACTTTATTACCCTTGCACAATATTGCTTTGGCAATATGGAGCCTTTTATGCTTCCAGACAAATTTTGTGACTGTTTTTTCTTTTTCTGTGAGGAATATCTCTCGTAGTTTGACTAGGATTGCATTAAATTTGTAAATTAATTTGGGTAGGATTGACATCTTAATTGTATTAATTCTTCCAATCCAGGAACTTGGGGTGTTTTTCTACTTTTTTGTATCATTTTTAAGTTCCTTTTCTAAGGTCTCATAGTTTTCCATATAAAATCTTACTATCTGCTTTTTAATTAAAGTATTATATATATTTAGTGTAGTTGTCAATATTTTTATGTTTAACTCTACTGTTTCTTTTAATATTTGTTTTATCTGAATTTTTCACTGTTCCTGTCTTTTGTTTTGCTTTTTTTGATTGAGAATATCTTAAAGAACATTTTATGTACTTTACTGGGTTGTTAACTATATCACTTTTTTTAGTTTTTGGTAATCAATCACTCCAGAATTGACAATATGTGACTACTGTCAGATTATGTCACTTCACAAACAACAGACATCTCTGCCCCCACTTCCATGCTCTGTACTATGACTGACATTTCTTCTCCATGTGTTATAAATAGCATGGTACATTTTATTACTTTCTTCCATTGGGCTACTAATTCTCAGAGGCAAAACATTGTCATATGTGTCTTTCCTAAGCATGTGGAAGATGCCTGAAATCCCGTGTGACTCAATAACATTGAAGAAAGACAGGAAGAGATGATTTTCCTGACCCACGCCCACAACCCAAAGGCGGTGCCTCTGCAGAGTTTTGGGGCATTCTGTCTCTCTCTGCTACTCTCTTCATGTGGCTGGATATTTCTGGCCTAACCTCTTCAGGGCTGTTTTCACATCCTTGTTTCGCAGACTGTAGATAAAGGGGTTGAGCATCGGGATGACCAGGGTGTAGAAGACGGAGACCACCTTGCCCTGCTCCAAGGATTCCACAGCCCCTGGCTGGGCGTACATGACGAACACGGTCCCAACAAAAAGAGTGACTGCAGTCATGTGGGAGCCACAGGTGGAGAAGACCTTGTGGCGTCCAGTTGCTGAGTGCATCCTGAGGATGGTCACTGTGATGTAGCCATAAGAAACAAGGACCACAAGTGTCACACCCACGATGATGAGCCCACAGAGGCCGAACATGACCAGCTCATTGAGGGCTGTGTCAGCGCAGGCCAGCCTCAGCAGGGGCGGCACGTCACAGAAGAAGTGGTCGATGCGGTGGGAGCTGCAGAAGGGGAGCTGGAACGTGAGGCTAGTCTGCACAATGGAGTTGAGGCAGCCTCCACAGTAGGTGCCCAGCACCAGGCGGGTGCAGCTCGCGGGGCACATGGTCACTGGGTACTGCAGGGGGCTGCAGATGGCCATGAAGCGGTCATAGGCCATGACACCCAGTAGGAAGCCCTCAGTGGTGACCAGCAGAGAGAAAAAGAAGAGCTGGGTCACACAGCCTGCGAAGGTGATGGCCCTGGACGAGGAGAAGAAGTTGGCCAGGGCGTTGGGGGCGATGACGGAGGAGTAGCAGAGGTCCAGGAAGGAGAGGTTCTTGAGGAAGAAGTACATTGGGGAGTGCAGGCGGGCATCCAGGGTGATGACCAGGATCATGGTGAGGTTGCCCAGGACGGTGACCACGTACAGGGCCAGGAACACAGCGAAGAGCAGGGCCTGTGTCCCCAGACTCCCTGCAAATCCTTCCAGCACAAACTCGTCCAGGGGAGCCACTGAGTTGCTGCCATTGTTGAAGGGTGGCATGGCTTTTGGTCCTCAGATCAGGAGAAAAATATATGCTTCTAGTGATGGTAGACTACATAAATGAATCTTCCTGGTGAAGACTATTGGAAACGATGAATATGAATAACAACAATGACAAACTGACTGAAAGTAAAAGAGAAGTCATGATTTAGTGAAGAATCACTACAGAAAAACTCACAACGAACACGGTAGTCCAGGGTTCCCAGTGCTGAAATAGCTCTTCCCCGGAGATGAAAGCCAGTTTTGAAGAGGATGTCCGAGAGACCGAGGACTTAGCAGTTAGTTTTGCCTGTCCCATAGGGCTAATGGTGTCAGTATTTGGTGACTAGAGGCCCCCAAGGATGCATCTGCAGTGGGAAGGTACATAAGGCGGAGGGACTCAGCTCAGCTTCTGCCTGTTTCTGTCACTGAAACTGTATTTGAATGAGTTCTGAGGGCTCGTGCCTTGATGCTGCAAAACCAAGTGCATCTCCTTTAAAGACCCATCATCCTAGGCCCTAAGCTTTGTCTTTAAGAAGTTTGCACAAAATGATGTCAGATGTGCAACTTAAAAACTGAGGTGTTAAGGCAATATGAATTAAAATGTCAGAAGCAATAGAAAAAAATCTGTAGTGTTTTCAAATTTTGGCATTAACAGAAATAAACATTAAAATAAGTAAAATTGTTGCGTTCAAAGATAAAAGACAAGATTAAGAATTTCTTCACAGAGGCTGATAATACAAAATATAAGTAAATTTCTTGAAATGGTAAAACTTAAGAACTCAGTGAATGTATTTGGCTGCAGATTACAGGTAAAGAGGACATTCTGTGACCTAGAGCACAGGCACCGAGGGCATTCTGTGACCTGGAGCACAGGCACCGAGGGCATTCTGTGACCTAGAATACAGGCACAGAGGACATTCTGTGACCTAGAATACAGGTACGTGGAAAATACTCAAAGAATAAAGAGGCAAAAGGTTGGAAACCTCACAAATAAACATGAGAGACATAGAAGACACAGCAATAAGGCGGATGCTTAGATAGTATAAGTTCTTTAAAAAGAAGGAAAGAAACAAGCTGAACTGACATTTGAAGAGATAATGCCAAAGCATTTCCCCAACTTAATAAAAGATACTAAAGATTTATAAACCTTCTAAAATCAAAGCAGGATTAATGCAACAAACACCACAAATAGACACATCATGGAAAAAATACTTAAAACAAAAATAAAAGAGAAACATCTTAAAACAACTTGAGAAAATAAATCATAGTCCTATGGAAAGCATCAGCTACAGAAAGAAAACTGTCAACTGGCTACTTACCAGATGAAAAAGCTAATGGAGGAACCGGCAGATGGGATAACAGTTACATTGGTGGACTCCCACATAGTTAACCACAGTTTGAGTCCCGGACCCAGTGGCTTAAAACTCACACCAAGCATGTGTGTGTGTGTATGTGCCCAAGATCCCGAGACAAGACTGGAGGAGAAGGGATTGTGACATGGCCATCCCCCCTGGGGGAGGGTGACTTCTCACTTTCTGCCTCTGCCTCTCCAGTGAGCATATGCACTCTATAGGAAAAATCTCTCACATGCACACACAAAAAGCTAATGAAAGCCAGAGTCCATGAAATGATATTTCACTTTGCTCAACCAGCAGTTAGTGTAATGGCTAAGTTGCTGAACTCTCATGTAGTCAACTGTGGTTCAAGTCCTGGCCTGGTAGCTTAAAACTCACGCCGGGCTGGTGTGCGTGCGTGCCCAAGATGCCGAGAGGAGAATGGAGGAGAAGGGATTGTGGTGTGGCCATCCTCCCGGGGTGGGGGGGGGATTTCTTGCTTTCTGTCACTCTGTCTCTCTGGCGAGAGCACATGCCCTGTAGCAAAAACCTCTATAATAATAATATTAATTGCCAACTAGAATTCTCTGCTCACCCAAATCTTCAGGATTCAAAGTGAATTCAACAATAACAGAGATGTCAACACCAAAGTTCCAAAAAGCTCATAAAGATAAAATATCAGCAAGAAATAATAGATTTGAACAATATTATAAACTACTAGACCTAACAAAAATAAATGTTGATATGCCTGTCTAGAAAGATAGCTAAACAACAGCAGCATATATATCTTCTCAAGTGCACGCAGAACATTATTCAGAATAGACTATATGTTAGTTCACAAAACATGTTTCAATAGATTAAAAAAAGATAAAAATTATACCAAGTATGCCTTCTGAGCAAAATGAAATAGAATTAGAAAGCAATAACAGAAGGACGTTTGTATAACGTCCACATTTGTGTATATTAAACAACAAAGGTATAACAACCAATGAGGAAAAGAAGAAATCACAGTGGAAACTGGAGAGAGACTACAGGGGAAATGAAAAGACAGCAGAGCTTGCGGGGAAATGAAGAAATTGTTCGGACAGACCTGCGCTGTCATAAACACCTACATTAAAAAATCAGCCGGACTACTGTAGCATTCTACCTTAATAAACTAGAAAAAGAAGATAAAACTAAGCTCAAAGCAAGAAGGAGAACTAGTAAAAATTAGAGTAGAGATATGTGAACTAGAGAAAAATAAGACAATAGAGAAAAATCGGTGAAACCAAAAGCTAATTATTCAGAAAAGAGAGAGAGAGAGAGAGAGAAATGGACAACCTTTTTAGCTACACTAACAGAAAAAAAAACAGATTTAAATTAGTAAGATCGGAAGTGAAGGGGTCAGCAGGTGGCATGGTGGTTAAGGATGCTGGTCTCCCACATGGCTGACCATGGTATGAGTCCCGGACCTGGCAGCTTGCTTTCTCACTTTTTCTCTCTCCCTCTGTGGTCAAATTAAAATAAATAAATAAATAAATAAATAAATAAATAAATAAATAAGGTTAAATAAAATAATTCTTAAAAAAATCAGAAGTGAAAGCAGAGGCATTAATTTTGACTTTATAGAAATAAGAAGTATCATAAGAACATAATAGAACAATTATATACCAACACATTAGACAATATTGATGAAATTTTTTAAATTCTTGAAAACACACAAATTATCAAAACTAACTCAAGAAGAAATAGAAAATTTGAACAGACTATGGAAAATAGAGATATTTGGTCAGTAATTGAAAAACTTCCAATAAAGAAAAAAAACTCGGTACCAGATGGTTTTATTGGTTAATTCAACTGAATATTTAAAGAACTAACACCAGTTCTTCTTAAACTCTTCAAAAAAGAAAAGAGAAGAAAATTCTCCTTAATTCATTCTGTAAGGTCTATTTTGTCCTGATCCCAAAGCCAAAGATATCACTAGAAAATGAATCTACAGAACAATATTATTTATGAAAATAGATATAAGACATTTCTATAAAATACTAGCAAAAAGCCAAAAACTAGCAACCAAATCTTGCAGAAGATTAGAAGGATTAAATAGCAGGAACAAGTGAAATTTCTCCCAGGAATCAAAGGTTGGTTCAACAGAGAAAAATCAAGCAATGTAATACACCATATAAATAAAATGACAGAAATAAAAACACATGACCATCTCAATAAATGCAGAAAAACTATAAAACACTGCTAAAATAAATTATGAAAGCCCTAAAGGGGGACCAGCAGATGGCATAATGGTTACATTGCCGAACTCCCACGTAGCTGACCACAGTTTGAGTTCCGGAACAGGCGGCTTAAAACTCACATGACTGGCACGTGTGCATGTGTATCCAAAATCCAAGAGGAGAATACAGGAGAAAGGACTGCAGCATGGCCATCCTCTCAGGGGCAATTTCTCACTTTCCGTCTCTGTCTCTCTCTGTCTCTCCAGTGAGCAAATGCACCCTATAGCAAAAATCTCTCTAAAGGAAAAAAAAAAAAGGCAAAAGTTCATTTGGAGGATGTCATCCTGGGAATGCGGTTAGGAAAAATGCGCTTTGATTTGTTCCCTTCCTCGTAGTGTAGTCCATTCCCTAGTAGGTCTGAGGCCTGTCTTGGATTTAAAGAAAGCTGAGTTGGCCAGGACTTGACTATTATGTAATCAGGACTACAAATGTCAGCAACTAAAAATAAGAGAAGTCAGTTCTCCTCTGTCCTTGAAAATGGCTAGTACTGTCCATACACTACAAGGCCAGGAGTAAGAAAGGACTAGGAGGTTGGAGATAAATGTAAAAGAACCCTCTTCCCTTTCCAAAAGTGGCTAACATTCATCTTTGTTCCCCACAGTGTTCCAGAAGGAAGTGTATCTTCATACATCACCATACCTGAAAACAGGTAAACTTAACCATTTCCCAAAATTAAGTCCTAAGAGTGCTGCTAAGAGATGCTTAGGCTCTCTTTGCTGGGACCCTAAGAAATTATGAGAAAGCCTAAAAAGGTGGGAGAGGAGATTTTTTAATCTAAGCAAGCTTTTGCTGCCATGTCTATATCCTCCTGGTCTGCCCCTAACAAGGTACAAAAATCACTATTCTTAGAGCATGCCCTAATTGAAAGCTGTCTCTCAAAGCCCTAACAAAGGCAGGTGGTTTATCTTTCCAATCCTCAACTCTCATTAGAGTCAGACTGACCCAAAGGACTATTTGCCCAAGTTCCCCACACAAGAGAAACACAAATGGCCTAGTGATTACCCCTGGAAACTACTAGTACAGTTTCTAAATGGAGTTGAG